TTTTTCTCAACTTTCAAGTTGCAGGGGCGTGTGACACTCTTATCCTATCACACGCAACGAAGCTGTGGATAAGAGTGGGGAGGGAAACTTGGCCAGTTTCCTGCACCTGCGACGCAACTGTTGATCACGCTGTCCAATTTGCTTGTTGATTCCGTGGTGGTTTCATGATACTCCCCACAAACCCTTTTCCTGCCGCAGGTGTACAGCCGTGCTGATCGTTCGCCACCGCTTTTCTGCAGATGTGCACAAACCATTTGTTAAAACATCTTCAAATGCTCGGACCTTTCACCATTCCGTTCTCTCACCTTTCTTCCACTTGGGAATTGAGTTAACTGAAAACCAATGTCAGAGTGTGTGCGCGTGCGTGCATGGGTGTGTGCGTGTGTGTGAGGCAGGTGTGTTTGTGTGTGTGTTACTAGGTAACTAGGATGCTTTTGGAGCAAAGGCTGTTGGTGAGAAGTGCTGGGAAGCCAGTTTATTTCGGAGCCAGTTTATTTCACACTTGCTCTCCCCCAAGTACCCTCCTCAGCGTTGGCACCAGAAAACGCCCTGCAGGATGAGCTACAGTCAAAACTCAAGCACAAACTCAGGATGCATGTCTTGTCCTTGGGTTGGCTCCCACTTGGTGCACTGTCACATCACAGAAACACATTCCCAGTTAAAGAAGCATCTGCAGCAATCATAATTTATAGACTCTCAAGCAGCCAGCTGTGCAAAGGTCTGCGGCTGTCCAAAGGTCTTGTACCAAGGAGCGGTGCCGAGTAACAAAGGAGTCAAAGGTAATCAGTAACAAAAGAGGCCATTTCGGCATCTCGGATCTTTCTAACCTCAGAGAACCCGACTACCCCACTCCACTGGTTCTCAACTCAACTGACTCAACTGTCAGCTGGCTCTAAAACGGATGTTCAAATCCACTTCCCCCAACTCACCATGAATCTGACAATCTTCGAAGCAGTTCCTCCTGAAGAACTAGCAATGCATTTACACGCCGTAACCTGGCACCCGGACTTGCAAAAGTCTGAGTGTTGAGGTTTACCGAACTCAGGTGTTGACTGATCAGCAAGGGTGCGCTGATGCGTGGAGGCTGCACGGAGAGCGCCAAAGGTGCTGCTGTGGCATGCCGAGAGCACTGCCTTCGATCCCAAACACAAATGAAATGCCACGCATCACAAGGCGGAAATTGAACATGCAAAGCTCCCTGAAGTCGAATATCATGCGTGGATTAGGCTTATATAGATGGATCGAGATGAAAAAGTACGTATGCCTCTGTGCACGTTGAACTTTTCGGCGCCAGCCTCCAACATCGGGCCAACCATGATCTGACACCTTGAGAATAGCCCGCGAGTATCAGCGAGCATCGGTTATGGCGGAACATATTAGAGGTGAACTATTCTCTGGGAAGCATCAGCCGATGGTTCGTATAGCACGGGGTAGTGGAAACCATTCTTTCAAAAGCGTTCTTGCTCGTACTAAGAACACCCACCTCTCAAGGTGTGCTGTCTTGACCTTTCACTGCCCTATCACTGTGCTTGTAGCAGGGAGAACTCTAGTCTTTCCGGCTCTTTCCTTCTGTCGGCCCTCAGACTCAGATCCTTCTACCTGTCTTTCTTTCTCTTCTGACTTGACTTTTATCATGTTGTTTGTTCTTCTCCTTGTTGTGCGCTGCACCCCTTCTGGCACAACCTTAGGCCTTCACCCTGTGTCGAGGGTATCATGCATGGCACCTGCAAGGCGGATGAATGACAACTTGATCCTGCATTGACAATGATGGATGGGCCTGAAAGTCAAGGGCGGCAAGACTAAGCAACCAAATTCTATGCAGAACCTTTTGTTCAGATTCGTGGATAGCTGCCTTGCTCTACCTTGAGCCTGATGCAGCCAAGGCGGGCACTTTGCGTTGCAAACATCATCCAAAATCGTCATTCTTGTGTATCAGGCCTAGGCCCTCCTTCGCTGGCTCCACACTTAGGCCCGGCGTTCTCAGGAACCGACTGGTATGCCAACACCACCTTGAGATGCTTTGATCTGCTTTGACTGCAGCCCTTCCAGCCGCACGCACGCCGTAACAATTTGCTGAGTGGGTCGCTTTCATGGTGGTCGGGTCAAAGGCTGGCTGATTGAATTGCACACCTCACAGCACAAACGCCGGCAGCATTTCTTGTTGAATAAAATCATCCCTCTTGGCATCTTGGCCTCTTGGCACGATTCATTCGTAATGTTGAATTTCACTTCACTAACACTACATGTCCGAAGCTGGTACCAATTCCAGCTCTGATCTGCATAGGCATCCAGGCTTTGCTCCGCAAAGGTCGTGGTGTCAACCATTGTTTTGGCCTGCCACGTGGCCGTTCTAAATTGCATACAAGGCGCCTGGAGTCTGAAGTGGCCCTTCACCACCCAACCCTGAGGCCCCCCCTTATATACTTGATTGAGTAGGCACCTACTTAAGTAAGGGCGACTAGTTCGCTACTAGCAATAGGAAGCTAGCTCCTTAGCCAGGACGCAGGATAGCTCACGCTTCTTCAAGGAAGCTCCCCCCTTGAGGATTTTCAGGCACGGGGGAGCTTCCTTGAAGAAGCGCTCGCACTAATGATTTGGTTCCTTGATTTTTCAGACGCCCAACCCACATCACCACACCCTCCAAGCCGCCTCTGTGAAGACAAGCACCCGCTCTTCCACCAAGTACTTCTCCCTCAGAGATTACGGCCACATGGCAAGCTGTCACTCAGTTGTTGCTTTGGGAACCGGGACCCAAAAAACAAAAATATATGTATATATATATATAGGGTCTAAAGTCTAAAGTTTAAAAGAAAAAGGAAGAACATGGAAGAACAAAACAACCTGTCGCTTGGTTAAATTACATAGAGATTACCTAGCTGTCACTCAGTTGTCGCGTGTAAAAAGTCTTGGGCGGGGCTGTGCCTCCCTGTCCCTGTCTGACCTCAGGGTCTTGCTATGGCTGCTATGGTTTCTGAGATCCAAGCTGGCGCTTAACAACCTGCGCGGAGCCTACATGACAGTTCTGGAAGTACATACAATTTAATTACACTCCTATGCCAGTTGATCATACTTGCGCTGCACCCCAGACGGAAGTAGAAGTATGCTGGGTATACTGTCCAAATGCCAGGAAAACAAGCGCGCCTCTCTCCTTGAATTCCACAAGAGCAAAGCTTTCCCCGTCATTGTCCTGAATCAAAATTACCTCTACAGAACTAGTCTAGAGGCCTGAAAACGAGACCATATCAGCACATGTGGCACATGCCTTGTCCATGCGGAGGGCCTCGACTTGCCCAAACTGCTTGCATATGACCCTGGCTGGCAGAAGGTCGCGCGATCATTTCAGCCATTTGGTGATATGCAAATTTCAGCAAGGTCCTTTCTGCACAAGCTGACCAAAGGCCTTCCTGTTTGGAATCCCAGTGAAGTGAGACCAAATGCAAGTGGTGCAAGCGAGAAGCTCATCCGAATTTAAAGACACGGACCCCAGAATAGGTTGGGAAGGTCGTGACTGGGCTGAGCAAGTTGCCGTGAGATAACGGGTAACCTCTGCACCATCGGTGCGACACACGTTCTATGCGTAGGCTTCATCATCTTCCATTTGGCTGTGAAACGCCGAGCAAAGTGATGATGTGGGCAAAAGCTTCCTACAAGTACTGCTGCCAACTCCGCACTTCGTTGCCCATATCAACACTTTAAAAACCTACATTGCCTGGATTGTCAGGCAAACTTTTGTGCAAGGCAGCGTTCGCACAGGACTTGGCTAAATGCCAGCTTCCTGCGCTGCCTCCTGCAAAAAAGGACTGTTGGATTTGATGTGGCCCATCGCGCAATAAAGAATTGACCAAATGTACTGGTTTACATTTTGGTGTGGACAACATTTTTGCAGCCTACGTAAAATTTGAATCTATATAATATACATATATATATAATATAGAGTTTCTGTCCTGAAACGGTCGAAAGGTCTTTGCTGACTGGAGCTTATCCCATCCGCAGCCAGGCTGAGGTGCGGCTAGCACGTCCAGAAGGCATGGCATTACCAGCAAAGCAAGGCTCCTCCTGCCAACGTTTGCCTCTTCGAGGCGCCGCCTCCACGATCCAACACACGTCCGGCAGTTTACAACCTTTCACTGCAGGTCCTGATCATGGTTCAACTTGGGAGCACCCCAAGAGGGCTCTTGCATCCTGGAAAGCATGGTGTGTGATGTGAAAAATGTTTGCCAACAATTTTTTCTTTTCAGGGCAATGGCCATCTGCAAGCCAGCTTGAAGCTTTTCCGTCCTCACTGAGCTGCTGGGGCTGGCTTCACCCCTTCTCGCCAGGCTCACTTGAGCCATTGGCAAATCTGGCTTCACCTGGAATCCAAACACGTTCACACGAGGTTCACCAACATTCTTTGGACTGCTGACTGGCAGGCTCACTGGAGTCTTCAGTTTAACAAAGGAGTTTCCACGATAGCTGTGTGCATGGTGTGTCGGGCAAAATTGACAAACAAAAACAAATAACAAAAGGATTGTAAGGTGCGTGTTCTAGCCAATTGGTGTTGCCGGTTGCGTTGGAAAAAATGGTAAAGGAGACCTTATAATGTGGAAGAAACGGCATTGCTTTTCACATACCGTCAGGCTTGCGGGCAACCAAGCACTCGCAAACCATCACAATCATGACCCACGAAGTCCGCCTCCTCAGCACATTGGTCAGCATATCGTTGCAGGTCCATCTGCTTGAGGTGACCTGGCACGCTTGTCAGGCTAACACTACTATATATATATATATGTGTATAATCCAATTCATGCATGGCTGAGCTCTTGTTACGCGGGTCTCGTCACAAAGCCGAGGTACAGTTGTTGATCAGCATATATTTGGGGAAGTTCACCTGGTTCACACTGAAGGAGTTGCCACGTGTGCAACTTGCTGCTGGTGCAACTGCCATTATGACACTTTTGCAGCTCTCAGGTGCAAGCAAGTCCTCCTGCAAAAACTGGTTTTGGCCGCACGCCAGCTTGGCACAGCTTTCGGCTCGCTGCCATTGAAGATTGGACGTCCTACTTTGATGCAACATCTCTGAACCAAAAACAAAAGGAAACTTGTCCCAATACCTTGCTACTATTTGCGATGGCCTCCAACCTAATAGCGATGGCCTCCAACCTGCTACTAGTAGCTTTTTCTCCACGCGAAAGAGTTCCACGGGACTGTATCCAAAGGTGATTCTGCTGTGCGTTCCGCTGCTCGGCCTCATTGATCTCCCCTCTCTCAGTCACCTGCCCGCACAAGCTGAACTTGATCCAACATGCCTTGCACCCCCGGAATGCAGCAAAGGGCAAAGATAGATATTATGAAACTGGCTATGACGATTCTCGCTGATTCTTCTTTGTTTGTGAACGACTCTACAAAGTTCGCAACAAATGTGATAGCCGCTAGCCAACACCTTGGCAAGCTTCTCCCATCGCCGGAGCTCTGTAGTCAAGGGGTGGCACGCCTATTGAGATGAACCGTAGCTCAGTTTAATGGCGAAGAATTTCTGGCCCAAAGCAATTGTGTCCCTTCAGAGCTGTTAAGTGTCTTTAATAAAGAGTGGCAGATTGGATGGATGCCATACATGCATACGCGCCTGCATAACTTCTGCAGCTGACTGCTGCAACGCTGGAGAGGACTGGCAATTGCGAAGGGCTGCAAGCTTTACATGGGAGCCGTCCTGCCACGGGATATGGAAGGGGCCTGGCCTGGGTCCGACAATAGAATGTCATAAATCAAACCGGATTGCAGTCCCAATATGCACCAACTTTGGCTTGCTTCACATCCACCTTTGCCATTGGCCCCTGAGCGCGAGGAAGGATTGAACAGCTGGATTAAACGAAGCCAAAAAGCCAAAGGTCTAAGAACCGGACCTCGCGCTCAACCTCCGAAGGCTTCCAATGTCGCGTTGCCTCCTCCAAACAAAGAACATTCTGGCTGCACTGACTGTGTACTTGCTGTACTTGCTACGGGAACTCAACTAAATCAAACAAGGATGTTGGATGCTCTGTTCTACTTCACCTCTGGAGCCTGAATGAACCTGAATGTAAACTAATGTAAGAGCCTCCTTGAGAACATGGAGCGAGCCGGTTTGTGGCGAAAACTGAGAACAACCAATAAGCCAACGCAGGTCCTTGAAAGGCACCTCCGGCCCCCTGGCATGAGGAATGTCTAGAGTTCGGACGGACTAGAGTCTGACTAGGTACTGGGTGATTGCACCGTAATGTCGGGTCGATTTTGCATATCACTCCCCACTCAACATGTAGGGCAATGCTCACTCTCACACGCATCACACTGCCCAGTTGTGTGCTGCTCGACATCACCACATCACCGACGACCCAAATGCAGTTATGATCCGAGTTGCAATCGTAGGCTACAGTCTTTATTTGCAATATCATGCAATGGACGCAAAACTCAAGCATGCAAACTCTGCAAACTCCCCAATTGTTTTGTTTGTTTATCTTGCTTGATTGAAACTCATTGGTGGCTTGGTTTTTTAGATTGCTTTTGTTCAACTCGTCTCCCAGCCTGACGGGGCCGCGAGTCATTGGGTGGTTCCCAAATCGGTAGCCTCGGGAACTTGGCGCTAGGCCATAATGTTCCGCCACGCTTGCCTCAGCTTTGGGGATCAAGTGAGGAACATAATATTAAACATTACAGTAGATGGATGGTACATCGTACATCATGAGATGAACATATGATAAACATGATAAAACCATGGTGCATGTTTGGTGAAACAGGGTGCCTCTCCTTGGTGCCACATTGGCCTATTGATGCCATATCGCAAGCTGTGCCTCACTGAGCCCATTGCTTCATCTTTGGATTGCATCTGAGCACGGATGCGGTCCTGGCTGCGTTGGCCAACGTGCAATGCAGGCAAGGTCACCATAGCTACTATGAGCTTAGTATGGCTTTGTAGCTGCTCTCTGTCGGCTCTCAGCGCTTTCAGGAGCAGCATGGAGCAGCTGCATCCTTGTCATGATCCAGCAGGAGTGCATGAGGCTTGCGGCTCGAGATCGGTACAAACGGCATGCTGGGCCTGCACCTGGAGCTGCACAGCATGCGAAGCAAAGCATATCAAGCTAGAACTTCTAGCATACTTTCGCACAGTAACAGATCCAGCGCGATATCCTCAACTTGACAAGGGCTATCGTCGTCCTACCCCCTATCACCGACAACGACAAGCAATGCAGCAACTCTGAGGCTTCCACACTGCTCTTCGAGCAGCTGCGAGGCTGTGAGCCAAGATGAGCCAAAGCGCGGACAGCTGGTAGAAACACACAAAGCGCAGACATCTGCTTCAAGCACAGCCTGAAAAGCTGCGCATGTGTCCTGAATTCGTTATAGAAGACTAGAATACAAGCCACTTGAAGTCTAGTTGGCAGTGCTGCGAACAATTTCTGCAAAGCACACCAACTTTCACAAAGCGGCCTCACATCTTCTTCTGTGGCCTGTGTTATGTAGTACGCGCGGTTTCGGGCTGGGGTTGGCGGTGGCCATGCTTCATTGATCCAGTTGGGGGGCTGCATGCTTCATCTACAGTAATTCATACACCTTACAAATAAATACAAATACTGTTGTATGCTGTTGTATGCCTATGCGCTTATGTGTGTGTGTGATTGCACGTGTGCGCACCGAAAACCACAAATTCGATGTGGGTAATTATATAGCTATAGGTAGAAAATGTTTAGCCCCCTGCCCAGGCAAGTACAGTCTTTTTATGTACTTGTCAAACCTCTCCAGTCTTTATGGGCACCTCCTTCGCCAAACCAGCAATATGCACCTAGGCATGCTTTCCACACAATGTGCAACTTCTAGTTGCATATTTCGAAGAATGTGCTTTTGGGGGGCATCTTGCCAACTAAGGGGCTGCAAAAAAAAAAATCCGCAAGAGTACATGAGGAACTTTGGAGGACTGACCGTGGGTGCTTGGCTACCGGCAGTTCTCAGGCGCTTGTCTTCCTCCGCCTCCTTGAAGCGCCTCATCAGAACAAGTGCTCGGCAATGTTCGCAGGACAGCCCCTAATGTTCGAACCATGCACGGACCTTTTGTCACGCCGGAAGCAACAAGCCACTTCAACACGCCGTCTTCTCGGTTGGCACACTGAAGCAAAGGCCCCACTCCACCGATTGCATCTGGACGAATCTCTGACAAGAAAACTGTGATTATGAAAATACTTTGAGAAAACTGTGGACCCGTGCACAAATCACTAAACTTCCTACAATCTTCTACGGGTCTACGGCAACAGCCGTAGGCCTAAAATTAAAACCACTTCAGCTCGTGGCCCCCGCTTGAAGGAAGCGTGGCCGAGCACACGTGGAGCATCTCTCTGTTGCTCCATTGCCGAAAATTCAGCTCCAGCGCCATGTAAACTGCGTCGGAGCTGGCCCTACCGGCGGGCCATGGATCTCAACTCCCAGCGCTACGCCTTGCGATGGCGCTTGGCTGGAGTTGCGCCCCAAGAAGCAAATGAGACATGCTGGCGCTACAAGTAATGCAAATCATTGAAAGTCACCCAGCTGACCGTTGGTGTTTGTGACAAGGCGCTTAGCAAAGTGTCTTCAGGGCGGGCTTCATCACATCAATCGCCTCAAAGAACCCACGTGTCACAAGCAACAAGCACTCAAATCTTGGCTAGCAGTCCTTTCACAGAACATCGCGGAACGGCATATTGAATATGATAGGGTATACGGTATACGTGTGAGTGTGTGCCCCGTGAGTCTTCGAGGGCTTGTCTGTGGAAGCAAAGCATGGCCCCCCTTCATTCTCGGGAGCAGTGCGAAAAGTCGAAAAAACAAGTCAAAATTGTTGTGTTTTTGCTTTCAGTTGTCGAACAATATCTGAAACATCGAAAGTTGTGAAAAGTCACATTTGTCTCGAAGGATCTGACGGGCAAACTGAAAAATGATGATCTAAGGACGCGAATACGGCTCCAAAGTTGTCAAACTATAAAGTTCAATTAAACGGGATGGAATGGACTTTGAATGGCTCCTGACACCTGACGCTTCCACGCAAACGTGCTCACCATGCACGGCATCTGAGTACATATAGAATTCCGTTGCTTGAACATGCTGGTGTGATGCACAGCGCCACACGGCCAACTTGAGAAAGAAAGAACTCCAAAATAGAAAAGTCATGAAAAAGTCTGAAAGTCTATACAAGTCTGCGCCTATTGTGTTCCAAAAGTATATGAGCTCCCTCCACACCAAAAAGAGCTTGAGCAAGAACTTTCGAGTGAAAGTGTGTTTGGAAAAGGTGAGGAACCCCACGAGGACAAAGATAGAAAGATTTGTGCAAAGTCTGCTTCTTGTTCCTTAGTAGTATGGCCAGGAGCGTTTTAGTAGCGTCCTTGCTACTAGTAGCGATGCCAGGAGTCCCTAGTATTTTCTTGTCCCTACTAGCTTTTTGTTCCTAGTAGTAAGGCCAGGAGCCCCTAGTAGCGATGCACCTTGCTACTAGTAGCGTCCGGCGTCTGAAAGTCGGCCTTTCAGCTTGAAAGGTCGAGATGTCCACAGCATCGGAGCCTACACCCTTATCAGAAAGCCGAGCTTTTTCTGAAAAGTCCAAACTCAAACTCAAAAAGTCCAAACTTCTTTGCAAAAAAGAACTCGGCTCAAAAGGTCAAAAAGGCAAACGTTCTCAAAACGTCGAAATGTTTCCTCGAAGAGTCAGAAATAGGTTTTAGATGGTTTCAGCCTGTTTTAGCTTTCCGGAAGCTAAGGCCAAGCGGCCAAGCTTGTGGTGGTTCATGAAAAAAACAAACTGCTCTCAGAAAGAAAGTTCTGCTTTTTTTTGCGAAAGGTGTCTTTGCCTGCATGCTAAGAATGGGCCCGTTAGCTTAGTCTGCTTCTACTGATGCTGCATGATGTACTCTAGGGTCATCATTTGTCTGCCACCAAATCCAACATTTTCAGCTGAGCCGCACTTTTGCAGTACATCATTGGGACCACAACCCACACCATGTTGGAACCTTGGGGTGCAAATGAGCACCACCTGTCCCTCGCAATTCAACGCCTTCCAAATGCTCTAGCAATACGCAATGCTCAAAGCTCGGTCATGTGTTTAGCGCTTCCAAGAACCCACCAGCAGGAGCAAAATCACAACAGGTTTGTAGTTCCTTAGGAGCCAGCCAATGAATGCCCACCACCAATGGATGTTTCGTGGTCCGTCGGTGTGCGTCCATTTCCAGCCATTGCCTCAAAAAGCATGCCCAGGACCACTGAATTGATGCCAATGCTTGTGAACATGCTGCCCTCGTTGTAATGCATCATGCGTGATCACAATCTGTGTTGCATCCTGAAATCGGTGCATGAGGTCCAAGATGTGTCGTGCTAGAGGTCATGATCTGGTCTTTCCGGGCCTTTGTACCAGTTCATCCAACCTCAATCACAATTCCGGCCAAAGAAGCCATGGATGAAAAGCGCGACAGTTAAACGATCGGCTAAAGCTGCCGCAAAGGAACCAGGTACGAGTTCATCAGCCCAAAAGACCACAGTGCCAAAAGCGTGAAGGGCACTAACGACAAGCTGAGTGGGCCATCCTGGGTTTTGCGGGTTGACGTTCGACACAGTCGAAGCCGCTAGACTCCTAGACATAGGCCATAGGCTAATCTAAGGCCTTTTTGCAGGCCCATTGAATTGACACTTAGACTCTTAGACAATCATTGCAGGTGTGCGGCTGTACCAGGCATTGTCCAAAATGCCCTGCAAGCACATGAGTGGGAGTTTTCGAAAACTCTTGCGACATCCCTCAGCCACATGGCATTGCTCCAGCGAATCCACACTGCCATCGGAGTTGAACACTCAAAATCCCCCACAACACTCACGCCTTAAGCCACAGAAGGCAAAGAGCACCGTCAACGATCCCTGCAGGAACCTCCACCGCCAGCACAACCTAGTCAGTTGGGTGCGAGATCCACTTGCAAACCAGAAGGTTACAAGTCCAAAGCGGAAACACATGGCTTGGGCTTCAACAACTTTGTTTCTAAGCGCGGAGCTTTGTCGATGCTGGCCTTTGTTCCTTGATAGTCGGCTGGCGGCTTGAGTTTGTAGCCTGTGGCACGTTCGCATTGACAAGCACATGCATTGGACATGGAGAGCCCTGAATGGGCAAGAGAAGGGCAGGCATGAATGGCTTGTCAATGCAAGCTCTTTTGTTATATTTTGTGAATCAAAAAGCCTTCCATCTTCCACACAGGTTTAGGTTTAGGGACTTTGGTTTGGTACAGAGGTCGCTCCTCCCTGACTCTCTTTCCCTCTCCCTCCTTCACTCCCTCCCTCTCTCCCTCTCTCTCCTTTTCTCGGTCTTTCTTCACTTTATAAATATCTTTGATTGACATCATGAATCCCCCGATGCAAAGGAGGAACGCCGGTCATAGTTTCCATATGAACTGAAGGTCGCGCATAAGAAGTTCCAAGGCTTAAACCTCGCAAACGGTAACCAGGTGACTGAGTCCACTCGTATGACCTAGTCCTAGTCCCAGTCGAACGGCAGAGGCAATCTCTCAAACAAAGTCAACTCTGGAAAATATCGAGATAGGCCTGTCCTACAGTAAATTTAAAGTATTCCTGATATTCCTGGAAAAATGTGATAGCGGGATCTATATAGATGAATTTTATTTACAGTATTGAAATTGCAAAACAGAGTGTGTGGTGGAAGGTGCAGCAACCATTTCGTGCAGATCGTCAGTGCCAGTGAGAGGCTTCAAGTTTAAGTGCATCTGCATTCAGGAGACCCGTTCTTCCACTCAGCATAGTCAAAGAAGCCGAGGAGGCCTTGAGTGCGCAGAACATTGCAGAACCGCTGTCCAAAACTGCCTTAGGCATTGACCTTGGGCATCCTCTGGAATCTTGTGGCGTTAACCAAATCAAAAAGACGACCACAGCTTCACAAAGCTTCCCGTGAACTGCACACCTTTGTGCTAGCAAGCGTCTCATTTCCCAGCCAAAATGAATGTAGAAGTTCGCTGCCAGCCACACCTCACTGCTGGCCCCATGCTGCACTGCCGCACAAGCCAACACTTTTCGGCATCATTGCCAACAAGCTGCCATGTTCCATTTCTCCCAGTAGGTGAGCACCATGTTGCCAAGTGCAATTGTGCCGGGAGCGCTTGAGAGGTCCAGGGCTGCGAGCAAAGCCTGAAACCTGACCTGCCTAAATAAGCACAGCTGGCATCTCATGATCCTGTTCCGAGCTAAGAAAAACTCAACGTTCGACCTGAGGCAGCCGCCGGAAGTACTCCGCCTGAACTCCCTGCGGCTCTGTGCTGGTAGTCTCTTCTTGGTCTTCGGGCCTTAGCATGTGACATCGCATCCACGTCTGTATATGTCGAAGACTTGAGAAAGGGCGTCGCCGGAAGGGAGGCTTGTTGTTCACATTGAGTTCGTCGCTTGGTTGGTTGAATGCTTGAACCGTCCGCTCGCTCGCACGTAGGTTGGTTGGCACTGTCTTCTAGGTTCCTGAGGGGCTTATCTAAGAGAAGCCACATGTCATCATCTAAGTAGCAAAAGGCAGCTTTACCTTGCGAGGTCACTGTCTGGCATCGGAAATGACACCCTGCTTCGACCGGTCGACTGCTTGGTTTGCTTGAACCCATATATAATGTTTGAGCTTGCTCGTGGTCTAACAGGGTTCATTGTCTTCAGTGTCTTGGAATGGGATCTTGCTTTGCTTTATTTTCATGCCTAAGTAAACATTGAAAGTTTGAAAGGAGAAGGGTGCAAAAATCCGCTGTCCTATGCGTGTGCTAAAGCGAATCGATACAGGTGGTAACTACAGCCATTGCCAAAATCAGATTCTGCACCAAAAACGAAATTGCCAACCGCTTGCTGTGAGCACTTGAGGCCAGAGGGGGTGAACGAAAGCTAGCCGGGCCGGGTCCTCTGCTGCTGCTGCTGCTGCTGGGTGGTCTGCTGCTGCTGCTGCTGCGGCGGTGGGTGCTCTGCTGCTGCTGCTGCTGCTGCCGCTGGGTGGTCTGCTGCTGCTGCTGCTGCTGCTGCTGCTGGTGCTGCTGCTGCTGCTGCCGCTGCCGCTGCTGCGCTGGGCGCTGCTGCGCTGGGTGCTCTGCTGGCGCCGGGTCGTCTGCTGCTGCTGCTGGCGCTGGGTGGTCTGCTGCTGCTGCTGCTGCTGCTGCTCTGGGTCTGCTGCTTCTGCTGCTGCTGCTCCTTTGTGGTTTGCTGCAGCTGCTTGGTGGTAAATTGCAGATGCTTGGTGTGCTGCAGCTGCTTGGTGGTCCCGCTCACCGCGCGCAGGGGGGGAGTCGAACCCCCGGGGGGGGGGGGTCCATAAGATTGATTTAATCAATTATTTGAGGTTTCTGAGGTGCGTCCACCCCGTCACTTAACTTGCTAAAGCAAGAGCAACTCCAGCTAGCTAAGGCTAGCTTTCGTGGCAAATAGGCCAGGGTATCCTCATGTCGTCTCACAAGCCTTTTCTAGGAGCAACGTCTTATCCAAAAAGGCTGACTCTGATAGCGCGTCGTTACAATTAAAGCAGAATGTTCAAAGAGCCGACGAGCATTTGCAGAATTTATCATGTCGCGTATTTAGACACAATCATCAGTCTTATTGTTCAAGCCTAAGGCTCAAGAATGAAGAGGCTTCTTGGCCTACGTAGTGTTCGGGGTAGTGACGTCCAGGTGTAAAAAAAAGAAGCTGCGACTCTTTTCTAAAGGCCCTCTGTTTTACAAGTCCAGGATTAGATTGCATCTTAAAGTAAAGGGGACCGGTCGCATCTTCTTTTCTCCACGATGGCCTAGGAGGCAAGGGGTGGGGAGTTCTGTGAAATAATTGATCCACTTCCTCTGGGTGGCTTATTAATAGTACGTACGGCATGCAGTACTTCAGTCATCTTCAGTCGAATATATACATTCAAATTTAATAAAGAATTGGAAGCAGCATAGCTCCGCACACTGACTCCCAAGACTTTTGCACATTCCACATCTGCCACGCAAAGCTGCACAAGACTCACAAGATTCTTGCACGTTTACATTGCCAGAAGGACCACTGCATCAGCATAATGTTACGTAGAAGAGTCAAGTTTGATTGTCCGCAGCGCCTTCCTGCCCATGTCTTTGGAGCCCGGGTCCATGACCGAGATCTGTGCAAACAGGCCATGAACCAACATTTTCGGATCAAGACCTGCCTACTAAGGGGGATGCTAAATAGCAAGTAAAGCCAGATGCCTCGATAAAGGCAGACTAGAGCAAGTGGCGAAGTTCAAACACTTGTATATAGTAGTTCCGAGCCCACTGCACTCAACATCTATGCTGGGTACAAGCCAATATAGGGTGCACCTACCTGTTGCCAGTTAAATAGCCATGATGGGGCTCCCTGTGCAAATTAAATTACAAGCACAGGAACATTGTATAAAGCATTATCATTGCACTCATTGCAATTTGAAGCCTACGATGTCTCTTTTCCACAGCCCATCTCTCGCACCCTCTCCTCTGCCCCTTCCCCCCGCAAAAAGAAGTGAGCAAACTCAGACCACGCGGGAGGCCCCCAGCCCTAGCATACCCTTCTGGATCCATTGATTTGGGATGATTTGGGTTGCCTGACTCGTTGCTAGCTTGCGTTTTCAACACCCTCAAAGAACATTCAACATCTCGCCAAATAGTTTGTCTAAAGGAAGCTTGTCTTACAGTTGCTTGACCGTCTATTGTAAGTTAAGAACTCGATCAATGAAACAAACAAAGCCCCGGAGATTGAAGGAGCAATGCCTCAACGGGCTGCCCCAAGAGCTTGGTGCCACTCATCTGATGCGCCTCAAGAAAATTAATCAGATGCGGCTTCCACAAATTCAGGGAACGTTCCGTCAACCTTAAACCACACAGCCTCCAGAACTCCCTTGGATGTTGCGAAGTCGAGCTGTGCAAAGAATTCTGTTGTCCTCGTGCAGTAAAGACTGCCGCGTAAACGGTGCGGCTTTCTGCTGGAACCTTTTATTGGCTTCTTGACTTCTGGTTCGCTCGATTCCAAAACATTCCACATCATCCAGTCCTCCCCTGAAAGGATCTGAACAAAACCTACAGGAGCAGTTGAGTCTCTGCGTTCAGTTCAGTCTGTCATGCAAACAGCTGCATCCCATTTGCATCTCACAATCTCATGCCACTCTTTACCTCCTTACACACACACCCAGCCACGGTGTTGGAAGCACATGTTTTGTCTGTCATTGCGAAAAGCGATCAATTCTTTTTTTAACTCCTTTCCTGGAAACAAGACCAAAGTTCCAGGCTCTCTCGATTGCATCGCAGGTCCTTGGTGGCTGGGCACTGGTGCAAATATTGCCGACGTGTATTGAAATGTGCTTTTAAAAGCCTGGGGGTGTATGCTGCTAAAAGGAGGCTAACAAGTAGGTAAGCTATTAGATGCTATTGGTAAGCAGCTTCATAGGCTTGGACGCAGAAGGGCTCAGGCTTCTTTGAGGAAGCCTGGGCCTTCATGAAATGGCTCCTCGATTTTTTGAAGTTTGTATAAGTGGTGCGCCATGGTGCGTCTGCGTTCCACTGGAGCAATGGGCACGCGGCACTGTGCGCAGCTGTACGTAGTTTATGTCAAGATTGAGTTATACATCACATTGCAAGCTTCTCAGACTTCTCGGGCTTCTGTCCAAGTCTCGCAAAGGTTTCTCGGATGACATCCTCAGTGACTTGAGGGCCTCGGTGAGAAGGGGCTGATATTCAGTATACACCCAACGTTTCTGAAGGTTTATCTGACCAACGATCGTTTCAACACGCTAAGGTGGGAACTCAAATTCCTGATGTAGACAGAATTTCGCGCCTAATAGGGTCCAAGTCTCGACTTAGAACCGAATGGGTGACATTGGCACAAGGATCACTTTGGCAGGAGCAAGAAAAACTTAAGCAGAGCAACTTAACTAAACCGAAGATGTCCACCTGGCTTGATGGATTGACTTGTTGTTGTCTGGATCTCCTGGGGTCCCCGGCTGCAAATGCCATAGGCTCGAAATGCACTGATGGCAGCAGCTAAACTAAACGCTCGTGGTGGTGAGGGCCATATGATATCTCGGTGTCCTGATGATGTGTGGCTGGCATGGTGACCTTTTCGGATTGTTCAGAGGGCCTTGCGCAAGCCTCGTTATATGCGAATTGTGTCGAATGATTTTTGCCAATCAGCCAAAATGGAAAAATAACATCATATACTAAATTGTATATATATATATGTGTGTGTGTGACATATGACATATATGTGATTATGTGTCTGTGTGTGTGTGCGATTGTGCGTGTGTGCCTACATTGTTTGACCTGTCTTGATTGTGTTTTCCCCGTGGACCATCTTTCATCAGTGATATTTGATACCAGAAGACTCGTGTCCCAAGCATCACTGCTCCTGCAAGACTACTCACATCTATTCACGCAATGCTTCATGCATGCATGCATTGCACGTTCTGCCAATAAGAGCTGGGAAGCGGCGGAATCGTCACACATTCACAACAGTGCTGCCCGACTACCAACCAGTTTCCCAGCTTCAAGTTGTACTTTGGTAGTTTCGCTTCATCAGCTTCACAAGACTTTTGCGAGACGCAAGCCAGCTTGCATGTCATCCACCGGTAGCCAAGAAATAGAAAGCGATGATCAACATCACCAGCATCAAACCAGCAATGAAGCAAACCATTTTGCGATTCTGGTCTGCCCTCTGGAGCATTCCCTCTAACGTTTTCCCAGCCATGCTGTAGTTCTGCCCAGCTTTCCCCATGTTGTCACGGCTTCTGACAATCACCTCACGCTGAAGTCGTAAATCACCCATGACATCAATACCAATCTGCTCGGAGTCCAGCACCGTGCGCTTTGCCTCAGCCAGCTTTCGTGAGGCCTCAAGCATGGACTCATTCATGTCCTCAGCTCTCCCGTGCTCGTCTGCGGTTTTCCCCACAACTTCTCCAAATAAAGCGCTTCGGTTAATGGCATCTTTCTCCTTCCGGCGCTCGGCTATCCGTTGTCTGTGGCTTTTTATCTTCTCTTGAAGCTTCTGCCGAGTCTCCGGTGGCATGGCTCGAGCTTCAAGCTCCATCTGTTTCAGGGCCTGCTCAGCCTCGACCAACCGGCGCTCAGCTGTGGCTAACTGCTTTGAGCGGCCACTGGATTCCGATTTAGCAGATTCGAGGAATTCATTTGCCTCGTGGCACAACCGTTCGAAGTCAGCCTCGTATTCTCCAAACAATTCCGAAACACTCACGCTCTGCGACATAGCCAGCTGCACCAAAAATATTTTGACAATACTCTTCCTGCGCCTCTTTGACAGCAAATTGGTTGGATTATGTTGGATTTGTTGCAACCTGATTACTGAGAAGTATCCAACATTAGCTGTCTTGTTGTCTTGTTCCATGCACATTATTTCGAAAGTAAAGACTTGTCAAGAACTGTCCCCCGGCTCAGGGTGCAAGTCGATGCATCTAAGAAAGTGTTCTGCCTATATACCGTGGCGCGTATGTTGCATTATGTTGTATTAATACAAATACAGGTACTAGAAACCAGCAACAGCAGCAAGTGTAAAAATGCACTCTTGCTAGCTCTGATGTGGAGAAGAAATAGCTTGAGCTGCACTTCCAAAGAAAGCCCCCTCATGCAGCCAACCGAGGCCTGAGGAGATCATATTCAGAAATACGTGTTTACGTGCTGACATGATTACAATTAATGCCCACTGACCCAAAGAATGAGGGTCTGCTGTAGTACAGGGGTCAGCTGAATGAAAGGTCAACAAACTTGGAATCAAGAATAAGCAGCTACAAGCGCTATAGGCTATAAGTCTCTTTTGGTTGCGATGGCGATCGGGAGAGCTACGCCCATCTTGTGGGGCCCTTCCAGACTATTTGGGCCAGAATTCCTATGACCATCCCAGCTGATGAGCAGTACAAATCAGCTGTACAATCAGCTGTGATTCCGATGGGTCACTCCTGACAACCAGCACCAATCAAAGCGCCATCTCACTGCTTTGCAGGAGAGAGAGCTGCTTTCAGCGGCCGCTGGCCGAAACAGGCACCGTTGGAGCCAAAGAATGAGGCAAAAAATGATGGCAACACTTCGCAATCATGAACAGTGTTTCTTCTCGCAGAGGACCGGCTTTCTCGCAGAACCCTTCGATTACACAGAGCCCGTGTGCTTTCGAATTCTGGCAGGTGGAATTTCAGGCAGGGCGCTCAGTATCAAGTCTCCTTGAAACGCCATCGCTCCCGCCATGAACGTTTTGCACCAATACTTGTGCAAATCCTTAAGTATTTAAGCCTCTGACTACGCCTGAGGGCACAATCGCAACGATCACGATGGCACCTGCGCGCTTGACGGGAAAAAATGCCCCGCGGCCCTACAATCCCCGTGTTGACACTTTGTGCACGTGGCTTACGGCGCTGCCATTTTGCTAACCGTACCATCCTGAGACCTTCACTCCAGCGATTTAGCTTTCTGCGGTGACATTGGGTTTGTGTCTCTCAATAAACACTGAACACGAACAGGACAATAAATTAAGTAAGCAAAAACACATTAGCATGTCATACTTGAGAAATACTTGAGAAACTTGCAACCCAACCTGAGAACACGCTCTTTGGCCGTGTGAAACCACATGGGCACTCAAGCCAGGAGTGCAATGGAATCTAAGTGGGACAATCAGCAGCATTCCTTGCTACTACACGGTTCTTTCTAAAGGAGGTGGTGAGTTTGACAGGCACTTATTTGGGGTGTGAGGAAATCCGGGCCCGAAGCTTGCCAAGAAGCACTCTTGTCCGAAAGCCCCTACGTCTGCCATCCAGGTTATGTCAGGGAGGCTTGGTTTCTGAAGCCTCCAAGGTCTTGGCCTGGCAGGGTCAGGATTCTACCCAAGCAGGAGCGCAAACAAATCTTAGTGTGTCGCGCCAAAAAAATTCTGGACATCCTGTGGCCATGATTTGGCAGTCCAGCTTTCATCTGCTCGTGGTCATTCCGGTCTTGTGCATGATGCCATATGACCACGGAAATGCACAGGTGAGACTGCAGCTTCAGGGCTGCAAGGTGATGTTTTTTGTCTCCAACCAATTCTGCGAGTAGCGAGAATGCTGTCTTTTTGTGTGTTTCCCCTTCAACGACGAACTGCTCCTCAACAACAATGGACAATGGATAGTATCAAATCGTGAATTGCCTAAATGTCAGGAGGCATTCATGCAGCGAAACAGCTGCCCTCTGCACGTCCCGTACCTATCCCAGGAGACAAAACAATCTCAATGAAACAAGCCGTAGAAGCTCCGAACAGTCACGACAGGTCGCACCTGGAAATATCTGCAACGATCACGCCTGCAAATGTGAACCAAACATGGCCCTTAAGTGAAATGTCCTACGAAGTATATTGCAAACTCTCAAAGGCCACAAAAAGGCTTCCAAGAATCTGCAAGCTGGCCCACTGGCCGAAGTCGCCTCCTCTACTGGAAGGTATCCCAGCTGAGCCGTCCGGGGTGTCCGTCCCCGGGGCCAGGCACGTAGCACTGGGCAACAAGTATCAGGAAATATGAGGTAAGCAATGCAAGAAAAATGACAAAAGAATAAACAAATTATGGCAAAGTTGTCGCTGATGCTCGATGTTATTCTCTACAGCATCCACCGTTCGCTTAGATTCGCTTAGCAAGTTGGACCACTTGGGTCTTAGTCTGAGTTTTTCTCTGCTGTTGGCTCTTACCACGAGAGGTGTAACTGGCAGCACTGTCGTGTTCTCTGTCTTTCAGACCGGAGTGGACAAGCTTGTGCGTCGGTTGGCTACTCTAATGGGAAGCAGAGTGCCTGCGACAGTTGACGGTCAAGATGCTGACATTTTGCGGGCTCTATATAACAAACGAAAGTGCATGTTGGTTTGGTTCACCTGGCTCTTCATGCCACTGTTAGCCGTATGATGCCATTACCCTCTGGCAGGCTTAGTGTTTTTCGTAGCATGCATGAACGCAGGGCGAAATGAATGAAGTTGCCTGCGACAAGCTCTGATCAGCCTCTATCCTGCGAATGCTGAAGGCCAAGGCACCTAGAAGGATAGTGCTCAGGAAAACGCATCCAGCTACAAAGGACGTCACAATCTCTGCCATTTGATGTGACTCGAGGTCCTGAGCAGGTCAAAGTTGAAAACTGTGACTGTGTCATCCGGTGTCTCTGTAAAAATAATTGTGCGGGAGCGGGAACCCCCCGAGAATACAAAGGCGCGTGAAAAGCTTCAAAACGATCAACCGAGCCATCGCCAGCCCCACCTGCGCATGAGCCCGTAGTGTGCCAAACTTTGCCACCACGTTCCTTAGCAAACTATCCAAGTGTTGGTAAAAATGGTGTGCAGAAGTTGGCCTGCACAATCACAGCTGCTGGGTTTGACGATGAGCTTGTTCCTCTTGCGGCTGCAGTGTCGCTACATAATCAGGGAGCTCGTTCCGTGCTTGCGGCGTTAGCTCCAAGCGTCGACCTCAGTTTCAAGCAAAGTTTGAGTCACGAGCTGTGCCACTTTCCCGTGAGACCGTGATTTCGGCAATATTGCATTTACTGCAGTTCGTGATGGTCTCACAGTTTTGGAACTGTGATAGCAATAGCTGTGAGATGCTGTGAGCCCCTGACGTCTGCGTCGCTTCCCACCTTTTCCACAAGTCACAGTGCAGTCGCTCCACCTTAAGGGTCGAGCAAGCATGATTAAACGATTGAAGCTGCCTGATGTGCTCTTGTTTGTCAGCACAGTCAGAAAGACTGCACAAAACTGAATGTATATACAGTAAATAGTCCGGTTTTTGGGTTGATGGGTAAAAGACTTCCTTCTGCAAAGCCACTCACCCCAAACACTCCACTCGCAGAACTTCTCTCCCCGGCAGCGTCTCGGGCATCTCCCAATCTCCATCGTTCCTTTCGGTGCGCATTCCTTCCCACCTTAGTGAGACAGAGACAACATCAATGCCGCAGAGGTGGAATGCAAACACAAAGAAATGCAATTCTTGAGCGCAGCAATTCCTTGTTTTCGTGTTCTAATGAACTCTTTCCTCCCAGGCCATCCAAAACTACTGAGCATTCATGCCATTGGTAGGCCACGCGTCGATGGTCCTCCAATCAACAGACAAAGGAAAATGATGAAAAGGCGACAAATTTGGCCGTGCTCTCCATGCAAAAACAGGTCTTGGTGTGCCTCACCCGGGATCGCTCGCCTCAGGTTCACAACAAGGCATGTGAGATAAGAGGATCTAGATACATTGAGGATCTGGAGGTTCTCCTCAATATGTCTGCGCAAACTTGTTCCTGTCCACACGTGCTGAAGCATGACATGCCAAGCGGCCGTTGCACTTGTCGCAGTCACCCCACTGCTTCCAACTTGAGTACGTGCAGTCCACAGGCTCTGGGCCACCACATGCGTGGCGGTTGCATTCCTGCGGGGCAATTTCTGTGACCAAGGTATGAAATGTTTGAAGCAGGTGTTGATTCTCCATCGTTTGAGCTCGGCCTTCATCTCCGCCAGACCACCGTCGCAGCTTTTCCCGCCGAACTTAGGATGTCTTAGGATCTTGCGCGTCCGTACATCCTGACCACCTGCACATCAATATGATAGGTCAGCGCTTCTTGCAGAATTACACAGTTTAGGATGCAAATCTTTTTAGCTGACCTGCACGGATGGGCAATTGCGAATTGAAAGCCTTGCCTCCGCAGCTTGCAGTACACTGGCTCCAAGGCATCCAGTCACTCATGACACAATCGACCTGAAAAAAGGACAAGTGTTCACTAACTTCAGCCGCCCAGCCCATAAACATTTCATGCAAACAGGTCTGAGAAAAAGTAACGTTAAAAAAACGAGGCGGAGTGCGAAGCCCCGGTGCATTCCGAGCAGCAGGATCGCCACCCTCACATTGCTCAGTGGGCGCCTGGCCTTGCGTCTCCCACCCCCAAATAGAGAAACGCGTCGGTTTGGCAAAAACACTACTAGTAGCAGGGGCATCGCTAGTAGTAACAAGGGCATCGCTATTTGTAGCAAGGGCGCTAGTAGGTTTCTTTGGCGCTTGGAAATGCAAATCTCTCACTGTGCTCTTCCCGACCTGGTGAAGGATTGCAGCGCTCCACTTGCTTCAAAGAGCCCGTGCACCAAATGCCAGAACCTTCTCAATGAAGAAGCACACGCGTTCAACGTCTCAGCACCCCTAAATAACCAGTATAGGAGGTCAAAGACCGGCCTGTCCCAAAAGACTCAACGCTTCGCTCGCGTTTCATGATGCCATTGCCTCAGCTGCTATGCTGGTGCACGAACAAGCCGAGCTGCCGAATCACAAA